CGTTCTACACCGTTCCTGATTGATCCATGTCCGTCCGCCATGTTTATAACGTAATTGCACGCTTGCCAATGTTTAAAATAATGCTAACTAATGTTTAGCGCGGTCCGAAACACACTTTGAACTAGCCCGACCAGGCTCTACGACTCCCAGGTTCCCGTTCTCCTCGGTTTCCGTAGTTTCACCTTTTACCATCCCGCAATGCGAAGTGAGAAGCGATAAGGTAACTTGTGGCTGGCTAACTTTGCACCTGTGAGGCTAAGCGAACCTTTGTTATAATTATATGACCTATGTTGACCTACGATATAGTTATTATTTATTGTCGCTGTTCGTATTTGCCACACACGGCCGTGACCATCTCTTTCGTATCGCTGGAGCACTTGGTATTGGGGACATTTTCGCACCTGTACACACACGTTTTACGGTTCAAGAAGCGAAAGTAGTTCATAGGTTATCAGCGATATTTCTTTCGGAGAATATGAAAGTGGATTTTCCATCGTCGAAATCGATGGAATCGACAGTTTTGTAGAATCTCTTTATAGCTACGAGGATGTTCTTAATTGCTGGTTGTTATGCTGGACTATGTTATAACGGAGAAACTATTGGGAGACGTCGGTGATTGGCGGTATTGTCCGCAGGTAATATTTAGGTAGTGATGGTAGTGGCGCAGACAAACGAATACACAGTAACATCGACAGCTAGCGGAAGGTCTGAAAACACGCAAATAAAATAATGTGTTAATACCGAATAATTCGTAATTCACCGACCGCAAAATTAACCACTTGCGAAGTCTGAATTCGCTAAAACATCTATACGCGAAAAATATGGTGTATACAGCATTTAAAACATTCTCGACGTTGCTCGTGTAGTAGAAGCGTGGCAGCAAAGAAAAGAGTGGCAGTCATGCGAAACGCTCGAGGAAGCTGGCTAGCAGATCTCCCGTGGTCGCTCAGCTAGACGTGACGGAGAGTGACGAGGAAGCCTTCTACTACACTCCACCGCAGAGCCGACCGCAGCTGATGCGGCTGCAGCACACCAGACCTACCTGTCACATTCAGTAATGTATCTGATGTTTTCTACCACCAGGTGTCAGTAGTAGTACCACCACGACCATAATGTAATGCAACGCAGAATGAATATTGCAACTTTATCTACAATCATCTGCTTATCTATTCACCATAACCATCACCAGATGCGTGTTCAATAGCGCGAACGCTCGCGTGCGCTTGCCTTCTGAACGACACCGCACGGTCGAGCGCTCGCGAGCGCGCGCGATCAGGCTCCCGCGGCTGTTCGCGCGGCGCGCGAGTTGTTTTCAAGATGGCGACGTGCAATCTGGTGAATGCGAATCTAACACTTCTGACTTCAATTTCATTTTTCATTCATTCACTTCTGAATTCAATTCATATCAATTTCGTCTGCTAATTCGTTTAACAGTATTTGTTCGAAAACATTCAAATTTCGCGATGAAATCTGCTGAGGAAGCTGCTATCTTGGATAAAGCGAGCGCTCGGTGCATAGCTCGGTGTCGTTCAAGTGGCACTGCGTTCGTGCTTCGAGCGTTCGCGCTGTTGAACACGCCTCAGAAGATGCTACACTACCCCTCCCCCCAAGCACAATGTGCCACACAAGCACGTCCAGCACGTATGTCACTCGCCAACCGCCGATTTTGAGTTACATATACACTTCAAGTGCATACCTATGAAGCACTCACGCAGGAAATGTTTATTTTCATTAAAGCGGCGAGATGTTATGATATATGACCGCCAGATGTCGCGTCGAGAACAACGTGTGTGTCGCGTGGTATGCACGCATGGTGAAAGCATTCCAGTTATTCAAAAAAGATATCTGCGTTGACTATGCACATGTTTGAGTATCAAACATAACAGGCTTATTCCCTATTTATATAAGTCTAGGGCGTAGTGTCCCTTCAGTCTGTGGTTGGACTTCATATACAGTCTATAGTATATATATATATGTATATATATATATATACCCTATTAATGGGTACATTATAACAAGTGGATCGTCTGAATAGTTGGGGTCATTAATGATTATATTTTTGGCAGTGTGTGATAGCACGAGCACATCAAATATGTGATTCTGGTGGTAATAAGTACTTTCCGAATTGCATACATTTCATGGTTAAATAGTTGTTTTATTTTATTTATTTTTTAATATTCAGAACCCAACTAAGCCTTTAGAGTTTTTTTACAGAGCAAAATGATTTGCAAACTTTTAACATTTGTACTCGTGGATATTAAATCGCGCCAATTCACCAAGGCATCGTACCGATAATCTACACTTTTCTATATAAACTGAATAGTGTTACTACATATACTCGATTTTACATTGCAATGAAACACGTCTGCCAACACGTGCAACAATTAGAACATAGATCTACCAAGTATTGATAATATCTTCTGGGTTATCGCATTTCCATTCCTATCCGGTCTAGCGTGTATACCCTGACAAATTCTATGAGACTCGGAGGCAGCCTGTTCTCGTATGCAACGCTGTGTCTGACAATAACGCGCGCG